GGCACATGAGCTTACACTGCCCATGCTGAACCAAGAGAGTAGGGAGGTGTGATGATGAGAGACTCAAGTTGATGGAACAGAAGCCAGGCAGGTCCAACTGCAGCCAGAATGCCTTGGCTGGGTGTCAGCAGAGCTTGGTGCCAAAACTAATAAGCCTGCCAGGAGCCACGACTTCCTTGCTTGGATGAAAAACTAGGCTGATGGTGCTTGGCTGGCTCCAGAGCTCTGCTGGAAAATGCATAGCTCTATTCTGCCATGTGAAACTGCTACTTCAGATGGGGCAACTAGCTTCCCTTCTGCAGCAGGTAATGCAGGGATCTGTGGCACTAAAATGGGGACATGTCCTGACACAAGGGTTGTCCTCGGGACCTTCTCCTCTGCTGTGGCTTGAAAAGAGAAAAGAAAGGAATTGCGATAATGATTTTGGAGCTGTTTTTCCATAATGATGCTGGAGCTGTTACCATAATTTTGATATCCCCTTGGTGACACTAGGATGGGGTCCCTGCCAGCTGCAGGACTCCCGCTCTGCTTTGGGATACTGGAAAAATGCATTCTATATAGTTCTGATTTTGTGGTGAGTTTTGTGGAAAACCGACTGAAACACAGTCTTATTCTTCTCATATTTCTGTGACAATATCCTCTTTGGAGATCTTCTCTGCTTGCAAGATTCCTGGGGCAAGATCCTTTCCAATTTAGATATGGAGGAGTATTTACCTTGGGAGGCTGAGAATGCTGCCACAGGACATTTAACAGACTGGTAAAAATAGCATTGTGACATGATTGCCACCATGGAGTATCCAGGCATTTCCCATGGGATATCAAAGGTATAAGTTCCGTGCTTCCCTCATTTCCTGTTTATTTAAGGGGATTTTCACCTCCACAGTCCCTGGGATGCAGGTTCCAGATGGCACTATGACTAACAGGCAGCTGTTGGGTGGGGTGTTTTTTCAAGGCAAAAAAATCACTTCATAACAAATTTAAATGAGAAAATTTCTGTGAATGAATACTTCTGGGGAAAATGACAAATGTTTACACTTGTGATTAGGTTTAGGAACAAAACAGGAGAAAACCTTGCCCCCAGAGTTCCTGCAAAGGAAGCTGCAGGTAAAGACCAGCTAGGAAGCTGTTTCCCTTGGTGTACTCACAGGAAAAGCTACACCCTCAGGAGTTTCTTACCTGTGACAGAGACAGCAGATTAACAGGTCTGAGAATTACTTCCAGAGATTCCAAGTTTTTCTAGCAAATAAATCTATCCATTATCTCAGGTTTTGTAATCACTAATGCATTAGAAAAAGTAACATCAGAGAAAGCAAAGAAAAAGCCTGTAGAGTATAATTCTTCAGAGATATCCCAAAGGTTACGGAGCAGCCTGGGTTGATTTATGCTTCAATATGAGTTTTCAGATGTTTGATCAATGAAATGAGATTTTAAGAATGCTGGCTGACCACTACCATAAAGTGGTGACTATATGCACTTGGTTAATTGCAACCATCAGACAGGACATATTGGCATAAATGTTTGACTTAAGTGTTTGTTGATGTGCTCTCCCTCACTAAGACCTCAGGTTTGGTCAGTAAAAAGGGCTGAATTGAAATCTAGGAATTTTCTGAGCTGTGATAATTACTGTATGGACAAGCACTGCCAGAAGGGAACTTAACAGCCTGGTGTGGCTGAATTAGGAATAGTAGAAGAGCCATGATGACAGGGAAGACTTGCCTTCCAAATTCAAGGGCAGCTGAAATGAAGCCCAGATGAGGTGAAAACCAGCACTGGCTGGAAAGAGATTCAAGCCTTATAGCTTTCACTAGAGCCATAGTGGTGTGTGCCCCATGAAGGACCCCACATTCAGTTTTGGGATCGTGCTAGAGCTCTACTTCATCCCTGACCTTCTTTCTTCCCACTGTAACTGGTTCTGTCCCAGCTGGTGAGAAAACAGTGTTGAGATAGTTCCTCTCAAAGACTAACTGAACATACTCCAACCTCCCAGAGATGCTTGGAAGGGAACCTGCCACGGAATCAAGGAGAATAGCTAATGTGAGCCTCGAAGGCATAATTAACAATGCAAGAGATTTAGGCCCATATACCTAAGAATGACTCCAGCTGTCAGTGAGACCTACCAATGCAGGTGACAGGTCTGGTGATGCAGAGCTTGTCTTTCAGGACATCGTTTAACCTGATAGTCCAACACCTCACAGTCCTATATGCATTTATCTTTGTAACAGACCAACCAGGGCCAAGTTTTAGGTTATAAGCAGGCAAGATGGTCAGAGGTACTTGGGAGGCTTCAGTACACCTGTTTTGAACTTAAGATGGATGCAGACATCACTCATAGAGTCCAGATACTATGGGGAAGAAGGACTTGGACTGCTCATTGTGCAGGGTACCTACTGTCTTCTTCTAGTTGTGCATTTTTTCTAGTGGGTACATGGCCACCTGATGGGTTGGTTCAGCTCACTAATCTGTCTGAAAACTGGTGGTCTTTGATCTTTTTTTGATACATTGAAGGGCTGCACAAATGCTGGCTTTGGTGTAATGGAAAGGAGGTCAGAACAACCTCCCTCTACTGCCCTGCAGTCACAGGGTGACTTAACCACCCATGAAAACACACCTTGGAAAAGTTGTCACTCGTGTGTCCAAGCCCAATCAGAAAGTCCAACTGGTAGAGAGGCTTGAAGCTAGTTTCTGGGTGAGCAGCCCATAACCTGTGGCCCTTCCTTACTTCTCCATTGGCTGAGAGACACTCATGTGATGTCTGGTGCTTCTTCCAGTTCCTTGCCCATCTCTGCACCATTTCATAGAATCATAGAATTATAGAATCATAGAAACAACTGGGTTGGAAAGACCTCTGAGATCATCAAGTCCAACCCTTGATCCAACCCCACTGTGATTACTAGATCATGGCACTCAGTGCCACATCCAGTCTCATCTTAAAAACCTCCAGGGATGGTGAATCCACCACCTCCTGGGCAGGTCACTCCAATGTCTGATCACTCTCTCTGTTAAAAATTTCTTCCTGATATCCAACCTAAACCTCCTCTGACAGAACTTAAGACCGTGTCCTCTTGTCCTCTTGTTCTTTATCTTTAATCCCCTCTGAAATCAAGCAGCACCTTGATTGCACCAAAATGCATCCTCACATGCCACTTGGCATCACCACGCTACCAACATCATTATTGGTAAAAATCTACCAGCTCTAATGTGCCAGGCTCCCATCAAAAGGGGCTCTGGGAGGAAGAAGCCATGTGTTTCCTTTAACCTACAATAAAGCAAAGCAGTTCAAAGAGTTGGAAAAAGAGGTTAACAATCTCTTTGAAATGTAGGTTCAAATTCCCAGCACGGCCCCAGTCAATTATCAGCAAGCGCAGTGACACATCTACCGCTAACAAGGAAGTGGAGGGAGGGAAGCCTGTGGTGTAGAGGTCCTGGTGGGCAGAGACAGGGGTTAAAGGACATCACCACGGTGGTGGGAAAGTTTCCAGGGGAAAAACTTAGGGTTTTTTTCTTTTACAGGCTGATTCACTCCCCTGTGGTGCAGCCAGAGTGAAGGCTGGGCCACTGGAGGGAATGGAGCTGGGAGGCAGGCAGCACATTCCCCTGCTTGGACCCCTGTGCAGCTGGCAGGGCTTTTTTGAGGGATGTGCAGGCACAGAGGGCTGCTGCTTTCTCTGGGGTGTTCCTCTGTGGCAGCATAAACCACTTTTATTTTAATCCCATTAACGAAAGGCAGTGCAGGGGTGGGGATGGGGCAGGAGGGGGGAGGGTTTGTTTTGGCTCTGAGGATGGGTGCACACAGGCATACAAATGCTGGGAGACAAAGGCTGTGATTAAGGGCTGGTACTCCAACTCCCTGCTTATTACAGGAAAGGATTTATCTGATGGCCTAGTTTCAGCTCCAATTTTCCACCTTTTAATCAGGTTCTCAGGTCTGCTTGTCCACTCATAAAGGGAAGGAAGAGGAAACTTCGGGGTGATGGAGCAGGACTGATGCTCTATAAATAGGCATAGGGCAGAGGGTATTGCTACCCCAAACTTTCCCAAGAGGCAGACCCCAGGGCAGGCAGAAGGATTATGCCCAGCCATGCAGCATTATTTTCTGGCATAGCAAGAGAGCATCCATGCTTTCCTGCCTGACCAAGCCAGGGTTGTGTGAAACAAACGTGCTGGAAATAAAAACCTCCTGCAAAATGGAAAATGTACGGAGGAGCAGCTATTTTTAAAAGGGACAGCACCTACTGCTGTTATGAAGTCAGTCACATAATCAGTCAGTGAGTGACTTCTGTGGGCTGACAGCTGACAGCCAGGAGAAACAGCTCCAGCAGACTGATGAGGAGAAAATGAGTTTTTGGCTTCTAGGAGATGCATGTTTTCTATTGAAGAGAATAATTTCTTTCCTATGCTGCCCTGGGCACAAGGTGGATGGGGGAAAGTGACTCTCAGTGTCTTTCCCAACGTGCTGGAAAGAGGAGTGAGGTGCTGATAACTCTCCAGGAGGCTTAACACTGCAGGCAAATGCCAGCTCAGCCACCTCTTCCCCCTCCCTAACCCAGCCTATCCTTATTGCCCAGCCTCTGCTGAGGTTTTCCTGCTTCTAAAAATATTCAGCCTCTAATTAAAATGCCCATCTTGCTTGCCAGGGCAAATGTATCCGGCCACAGAGCTGAGCTGGTTCTGGAGACAGCCAAAACTTGCAGCTAACCAACCTGGCTGGCTTTCCTGGCATGGGTGGCTGGTTGATGTCTGACATCAGGTGTCCATCTCACCATTTTATCAAGCAGCTTCAGGAAGCTGGCATGAGGGCTTCCTCAACTCATCCAACCCTGAAGCCACCATGTGCCTTTCCTCCTCTGTGGGGTCATTAGTGCTGCTTCAGATGTTCACACCCTGCTGGTGAAGAGGGGACATATATGGGTGATGTGGGGGTTCATGTTGCTGAGGGAGGCTCACATGCTTCTTCCCATTCAAAGGACTTTGGAAAGGGTATTTAAATAAGAAACAACAAGTGAAATAATGTTTTAATTAACAATAATTAAAATAATGTTTTAATTAACAATAATTGAAATAATTAATAGAGTAATTAATTAAATAATGAATAAAAATCACTAGCAAAATAAGATGTCAAGGCAAGGCCCCAAAGGAGTACTGGGAGGGACAAGGAGCATCATATACGTGTGGCATTCACAAGGAAGTCGAGAACACAGCTTCAGACCCATGGATTGCAGGACAGTGTCCCTCCCCAGGAGAGGAAGACATTCTCCACTGCTCTGACTGAGCCCACTCCCCAGGGCAGAAGGGATTCCATCCAAAAGGAGTGTGGTGGTGTAGCCTAATGGTCACAGCCTTATGGCGAACACCAGAGCAGCTGTCATCTATAATGGCTGGTGGTGGCTTTTCCCTACAGTCCATAATAGTTCTGTGAGCAACATCTGGCCTCTTCTGGGGACTTCACTCCCCAGGTTATAGTCTGACTGTACCTTGTATGTCATCCTGGAGGACAGCGCAGTTTGGGGAAGCAGATGAAGAGCTAACAGCTTTTTCCAGGCAGCCTGCAGCTCTGCCTGCCTGGCTGGAAGATGCAGTTCTTCCTTCACGTTTGGAAGCAACGGGAACACTGCAACTATCAGGGGCAGTTTACTCAGTGAGTCTCTGCTTGCACCACTTTTATACACAGTGTCAAGAAGTGCTTCAATTAAATTTGCTATTTAAGAGCAGGAATTCCCCCCTGGAGAGGTTTCTATTTATTCTTTATGTGCAATGGCTCTGCATGCTCTTAGCCCTCCATGCAGCAGCTCCCACTCCTCAGAGAACGGTGCTGAGACTGGATCATGTGTATCTCACTACTGAAAGCTCTGCAGTCTGGCAGCCTGCTGCTTCCTCTGCCATGGCATCGCTTCTGCACCCCTTTGCTCCCTTCCACACTCACAGAATCATAGAATCCTTAAGTTTGGAAAAGACCTCTAAGATCATGGAGTCCACCCCTTAATGCAACACTGCCAAGTCCACCACTAAACCATGTCCCTAAGCACTACATCCACATGTTTTTTAACACTTCCATGGACTTGTGTGTGGCCTCTCCCCACATCACCCATGCTGCAAATCCAGCCTTTCTACACTGGCAGACCATGTCCCAGATTGGCTGAATCCATGAAGAGATTTCCACTTTTTCTTACAACCTTTGGAGCACATCCTGGAGCAGGGAATTTTTGTGACGTACTCTTGCGCTGCTTCATTGCCATGTGTTCCTAATTTCCTTCAAGTCAACCAGTGAAGCTCTCAAGCCTTTCTGCCGGTGAAGAACACGGTGAGCCAAACACAGTGGGACAAATCCTGCGCCCAATTTGGAGATGCAAAACCCGTGACAGTGGTGGGGGTAAGCAAAGCAGGGAGATACGCTGTGTTGCACTTCAGACTTAGCAACAGATGTCACCCTCCCAGCACTAAAGCAATAAACCTGGGGGATCTGGGTTTATTCTCCTCCAAACCACTTTATTATATTGTGAGTAATCACAAAGCCTTACAATGCCGCAGAGGTTCTTTAAAAAAACCAAACTAGCACAGCAACAGTATTTGCCAGCTCTTGCTAAGACTAGTTTAGCTAGCAGCTAGCGTAGGATTACACAAGGAAATCTTGCAGTCTTCAATTGGATTGTCATATTGTTTTAAATTTACCACAGCACTGCAAAGACAGTAACTTTGACAGTAGGTGATACCCCTAATGTTTCTTCTATGTACAGACTTAAAAAATTAAACAATTTTCTTTTTTTAAAAAAATACATTTTCTGCCAGCAGAAAAGAATTATCTTAAAAAGGCAAGATCAACTAAAAAACTCCACTTCTTTCCTCACAAACTGCTCCCATCTTGCACTGCAGTTGGTTGCTGTTTTCCTCCAGATCTCTGCCAATAAGCAGTCCCATTGCCTTTTTAAGAAAATCAACATGTTTTCTGTGACTATGAATGCTGGTTGAGCATTGCTAAGGCTCAGTAGAGGGGCAAAAGCCCCAACACTGAAGGAAGGAGTAAAAATCCCACCTTAAGGTCTCTAAACAAATTACTGAAAAGGACATAGATGGAAATGTGGGAGACAGATTTCAGTATCCAAAGTGAGGTGTTGACTCCGACTTTTATGGAGCCAGTGGGTTTCAACCATCCCTGAAGTCAGCTGCTTGGAGCAACAGGGTTTCCATTTGCAAAGACCATTGGGTATGTGAGGATGAAGCATGAGCTTCTTCCAACACTCCCAAGGACAGTTGTGAGATGGGTTTATATCTGTATCACCTTTACATAGATCTCCCAATATCAGTTTCAAACACTGATGCAAGGCTGGGTTTACAGATCAAACTGCAGGTCAGTTCGAGCAGAACCGCATTCACAGCATCCCTTCCCATGCCCCAGGACAGAGCATGCCAGATGTGCACCAGACCTCAGCAGACACCTCCATTGCTCCTATAAGCAAGTTGAAGGCTTCATGCATGGCATTTAGTTATGCTGTACTGCCTTCTCCCACTCTCTCCTAGCCTGGAGGAGAAGAGGGTCCAGAGGGACTCCACTTTTCTTTGCCAGCATTTCAACAGTGGAGGAAAAAATTATCAAACCTTTGAGGACCAGGCTTTTTATCAGATTTCAGTTGTCAGCCAAGTAGCTCTGTGAGAGAAAGAAAAGCCACAACTCTGGAAAAAACCTCCAAGATCTTTTCTCTTATAAGCAAAGTGCTCCACGGTCACTGACACCAGTGCTAATTCTTCCCCTGGCACATTCTCAAGAGCGTTTTGGCGCTGGAAGTTGCCTCACATATGCCCAGATGAGTAGCAGATGTTGTGTTCAGATGGGGAATGTCAGCATGGAAACAACTTACTCTCATATCCTCTAGGTCTGCATCTTGGTTTGATAAGGTCGTCAAGACAAGAATCCCTGTCAAAGTTTCCTTCTAAGCTTTCCCAGAAAGGGAGGAAGGATATTTTTTCTCTCTTCTTTTTTTTGTTTTTTTCCCTAAGTCAGGCTACATGATCTTTTCCCTTTGCAACCTCCTTCATCAAAGGCTGGTTCCTGGATGAGATAGGGCTGTTGGCAGGCCCCTCTCCTTCCCTTCCTCTGCTGCACAAAATTTCTGAGCAATGGCTTGCTGAGGTTTGAAAGACAGGAGGTTGCCAAAGCTGGACCTAACTTAATTAGACATGAAAAGGATATGGATGGGAAAACAGGAAGAAATTTGTGGGAAAAGTTCTCGACTTAGTGTTTATTGCACACCTATGCAAATAACATGTAAACCCCAACATATTAGGAGCACTCTGTATTTAGCTTTGTCTGGAAATGTTTCTTCAAGACTGAAAGTGCATGATAAAGAACAGGGTGCTGCTAATGAGGGCAACATCCAGAAGGCACATTTTGGGGAGTAATAATTAATAAAAGGATGATGCGTGGGTTTGTAAGTAAGCAGCTACAGAGTTGGTACATTTTGGCGTGTGCTTTGGAGAGATGTAGCTTTGCTCCTACAAATGTCTGAGGCATGAAGGTTTGCCCTAGACTGATTGTTCTGCCCTAGGACTTGCAGAGCAGCTTGGCCCCCAATGTCCAGCATCACTGCTCTTGGCCAACGTGACGAGTGCAGGACCACAATGCACCAGGTAAAGTTTGGAGCCTGCAGATAACGTGGGCCAAGATTTGAGAGTTTATAAAATCCACAAACAATCAACTATTGGCATATACAAATATATAAATTATTGACAGTTTTACAAAAGGCACACTGCAAGCCATCTCAGTCCGACACCTGTACAAATCCCATAGCCCCCCACCCTCCCTGCCCCACTCCTTCTTCTCCTCAGCTTTCATCATGAAACATAAGGTGCTGCTACTACGGACCCATGGCTGTCATAGCAACTGAGCACTTCTTTTTTGGTCAGCCCAATTTGTCGGTGGTACTGTCCTTCTCTGATGGTCTTAAGACACTGTATGTTCTTCCCCAAGGTGATGCTTTTGATGGAAGGCAGATATTTCAGCACAGTCTTTGGCAAGGATGACACACCTGTCCCAGAGAGGTTGAGCTCTTGTAGGGAGTTCAGACCAAGGATGACTTCAGCAGTCAGTGAACTCAAGTTGGGATTGTTGGATAAATCCAGAACTTGAAGGGCTGAGAGTTCCTTGAAGCTATGAGGAGATAACTCTCGAAAGCCACGCAGGCCACTGAGGGATAAATGAATCAAATCTTTCAGCCCTGTGAAGTCTCCTTTCTCAATCTTAACTATAGGGTTCCCATCAAGATTTAAATATCGGAGAGGAATGCCTTGAAGGTTTGGCACAAACGTTAGCCTGTTTCCAGAAAGATTTAAATTCTGGATGTTGGGGATGCTCTTTTCACGGTGCCTTGTAATTGTGCTGAGCATATTATTAGATAGATCCACATTCAGGGATTTTCCTTGACCTTTTGATGCAAAAATATCCATAGCTATATCCAAGAGCTTGTTATTGCTCAAATCTATGTCGCCTAGAGGAGAACTGGAGAAACAGTCTTCCGGAAGGACTTCCAGAGAGTTATGACTCAGATCTAAGGACTCCAAGTACCGAAGCCTGGAGAAGGTTGTGGAGGAAATCTTGGCAATTTTGTTGTAGCTCAGGTCAAGACTCACCAGGGTGGTGTATCCGGGGCCCATAAGCATTGATTCATTTATTGTTTCCAGTTTGTTTGATGATAGATCCAAATAAGAGGTATCCAGAGGTATTGGGACAGGAACAATATGTGAGCCTATTCCACTGCAGTCCACCTTGGTCAAGCTAAAGCTGTCAAAGAGACCAAAGGTTTCCACTTCACAGTGGCAGCCGGGGAAGCAGGTTTTGGTCATAACAAAACAAGGAAGGAGAAGCAGAAAATTGAGCCAGGCCAGGAACTGCATTGTACCTGGAAAACAAGACAGTAAGAAAACAGATTTAACTGCTGTAGAAATTACTTCACAGAAGATGTGTAACTCTCTGAGCTACGCATTCTCTCCTCTCTCTTTCCCAAGGGATAGGTTAAGAATACCCTTAAATAGCATGGATATCCCAAATACCCCAGTGGGAACTTAATGGAGAAAACAAATTGGGTCAACAGTCTTTGCACATATAACCAAGTTATATGTTTCAGTATCCAACATATTCCACACAAGTGGAAATGAGCTGCAAGAACTGTAGGCTGCCTTAAAGCATGATCTATCCAACATGCATCATTTTGACTGGACCATGGAAGAAGCTAAATGACAGCTCAAACACTGAGTCATTTTACAACCTGGAAAACTTCAGCACACAAAGGTCTTCTTGTCAGAGCATCCCTGTGAGATTTGGGAGCACCGAATTAAAGACCTTAAATTGACAGGTTGGAAAAATCATTTAAGACTGTGAGAGCCTTAGGTGTCCAAAAGCCTTATCAGAAGAGGAAAAAAAAAGTTCCATTCAGATTTTCTGTAGGTAACAGAGATAAGGGCATCATCAAAACAACATCCAGGATGAACAGCTAAAAAGGCCAGCTGCTTACTGCCCAAACGGACACAATGTCTCCCTTGCTTAGACTTCAGATGCGAATTTAGAAGTTTTCAGGTAGGTAAGATCATGGCTTCCTATCAGGTGGCTAAAAACAACCCTCCTTGGGCTAGTGGCAGTAGGGCAGACAACAGCCACTTGGCTCCCCACCTACCAGAGGAGAGGAATCAAGGGTTGCTCAGTATAACCCAGACTTTGCTGTGGTGGGCCCAGCCTCCTGCACAGTGGAGAGAAACAATTTGCTTCATATAGAGCCTCTGGGGAGCTTTTGCTAATTACATTAAGTATTCTCTCTGATTAACAATGCCAGCAAGCAAGAAGCTCTCTCTACCCCTCTGGTTTTGACCCTCCTCCATCCAAAACATTTCTGTCCCTCCATCATCACAGACAAGGAAAGCAGAGAGCTTATCTGCACCTCCCTGGCTCTGCTGGATGCCTTCAGATCACATCCTAGCAGCTCCTTCATACAACTGTGGGCAACAGCAGCTGCATGATTTCAAGAGACAGCCAAAAAAGCTTCAACTCTGCATCTCTGGAGAAGGTAAACTGGAGCATGCCAGCATCCTAAAGGTCAGCAGAGGCAGCAAGGAGTGTCCTCATTGGTTCCCATTGCAATCATGGGTGATGACTCCTCATGCTTTACAAACAAGGTCTCCAGGAGGCCAGCAACAAAAAATCCCACCAAACCAGGCAAGCAGATCCATCACCTCGAGTCCTTGGCTGTGCTGCTGGCCATAAACACACACACTCATGTGTCAAGCACTTATTTAACAAGAAGAAAGTAAAAGCCGCCCCTTTAAATGCATATTCCCATCATTACCTCAGCCTCCCTGGTCTCTATTCTCACCTTTCCCACCGCTCTTTAAAAGCACTTCATTAACTTCCTTGCAGTATCATCTTTCCCACACACTCTTTGATCTGGCTGAGGCACCTTCCCCACAGCCCTTGCACGTTCCCAAGACCATTTCCTAGAAATTCACACTTCATCTTCCCTCACCCACCCCTTGACATCAGTTTCTCTCCCTCTTCAGTGTGATCTCCTTGGCTCTCATTCCCAGGAGACTGACTGGGAACTACTTGCCAATATGCAAAAGAAATGCAAAGGGGAAAAAATTCTGCAGAAATATTGTCCTGATCACCGATATGAGCTGTCTGGCAGTGTCTCCCAGACCTCCTGCAAATAGAGAGCAGAGATTGGGACTCTGGCCAAATTGCCTGCAACCAAACCATTGCTAAAGGCCAACATGTAATCTTCTGGGGTCCATTACTCTATAGAAACAACAGAAAATCCATAAGATGAGCCCTAGTCTCAGCCCATCTCAAGTGTTTCTTGAGAAAACACATATGTGTGCAGAGGGGACACAGCTCTTTTCTACACAGGGTAGAGTTCTTTTATGCAGATGTGTTTCCAGATATCCCTTTCCTAATGACATCAAGGCTGATCCCCTCTGGTTCTAGGCAGAGACATAGCTTGCTCCCTTCTGCAGTCTCTCGTAAAACAAATAGTACTCTTTTTCTTTTTTCATTGAGCTGCATTTGGAGTGCACTGAAATGTTTTATTACCAGGGAAAGTTACAGCAGTAAGGAGCTCCTTTTAAACTAAACCTGCAAAACCTCAAATGTTAAATGTCTCATGGGAAGTACCCACATTAGTGTCAGCTCAGCCTACTGGTATTTCTTCTCCCAAATTTCACCCAGTGGCTATTCCTCCTTGATATCTCAACATGGAAAATACCTCCCAACTTGTTCAAATGCCCAGCTCAGTTCCTTATGGCATTGTTTTGGCTCTGAAGGGAGCTGGATCACACACCAGCAAGTCCAAAGACAGGCCATTGTGATATTTGACTTCCTGGGCACTGCTAAGAAATTCATAGGCTCCTGCTGGGGCATTTGAAGAAAGAGGACAATCTCCAAAGTCCTAGCTTAACTAGGAACAAACTTTTTAATAGGGCCTGTAGTGATAGGACAAGGGGCAATGGTTTTAAACTAGGACAGGGGTGACTCAGACTAGATGTAAGGAAAAAATCTTTTTTGATGAGCGTGGTAAAAAACTGGCACAGATTGCCCAGAGACGTAGTAGATGCCCCATTCCTGCAAACATTCTAGGCCAGGTAGGATGGGGCTCTGAGCAACCTGATACAGTTGAAGATGTCCTTGCATATTGTGGGGGACATGGACTGGATGGCCTTTAAACAGTCCCTTCCAAACCAAACTATTCTGTGATTCTATGAACCGAGAGAAGAATCAAAACCAGTGGTGGGCTCTGCTATGTGGCTGCTCAAACCCTGTTTGATATGGGAATTCCCTTCCTGATCAGCCTCAAAAATGACTGCCAGAAGTGGGCAGATACAGTGATTCCCATTGCAACATCCATCACTCCAGCCAGCAGCAAAGACAAAAACCCTTCACAGCTGAAAAGCAGTACACAAAGCTCAGCTGAGGTATTTGCACAGCATATATTGCTTCTTCCCTCCTCAAAGCACTTCCACAAATTCTCCCTTACTGGCTCTGCAATTGCTTTGCTGATGGGATACAATTCATTACTTCCAGTTAAAAACTCCCTTATGGAGCAGTATGAAGCATTCATAGGCTAACATGCCACTTGGTTAATAGCACTGATGAAAGATAGGAGAAATAGTTACTGGTCATCTTTTGGTCCACGAAAGAGACTCCTGCATTGCCAGATAATCAACAAAGAACTTACTCAGGTACAGACATGCTTTATCATTGTGTGGAGCAATCGATAGCTCTCTTTGAAATGGGGAAAGAAACATGCCCCAGGCATTTACAGTTCATCTGTGTACAGTGTGCATTTGAAACTGCATCAAATTGCCTTTGGATTGCTGCCTGCCAGCTGCTTTGTTGATAAAGGCAGGAAGCCAAGGTATCCCCTCGTAAAATGAAGAGGAGTTATCCTCTTGCAGCACTGGAGAGCTTCACCCAGGGGAAACACCATGGACCAGAAACCACCAGCAGCATCATGTGGGATAGTGAGGGGAAAGTCACTGGGACAAAGCAGCCCATCCTGGGGCTGGTTCAGCCATGACATCTTCGTTTCTATGGCTGTTGAGGTGTGCAGAGATCCCAGTGATAAGTTTTGGGCATCTGACAGGTCTAGGGGACTTGTTATATCCACTGATTTCAATAGAAGCTGCTAGGGGTGCAACATTGTCCCCTGTGTTTCAGGTGCCCATAGTGGCCCCAGGGCTCTGGTCTTTATAACCTGCTCATCCCTTCTGCATGGCAAGTACTCTGAGACAACCTCAAGGAACCAGTGGTATTTAGTGGAGCCAATGTTGAATAAAGTTCCTAGCAGGGTTCTAGCCTTTTCCCCAATCCCACATCTCTCCCTGAGCCTAGAGATGCCCTGATACCTTATCCCTGCTATGCTGATCCACTGCAGCATTGTGTGGCAGGATCCATACAGAAAACTCACACTGAGATTTCCCTGTCAAAAAGCCCCCAGTATTAAAATCTGATTTTTAAACCACACTGTAGAGGAATCCCAGGTCTTAGCTGATGCTGGAGAGAGGTAGAAGAGAGGAAAGCCTTCTTCCTGGTGTTGTTGGAAATTCATGTTTCTCACTACAGTTGATTTCCTCCTTCTCCTCTCCCTTAAAGACTTTTCTCATTAGGGAGATGAGCTAACACATCATTCCCTGGATGAAACCCCATTGCTTGGGGACTGGTCCCCCTCATTAGGAATGCAGATATTAAGAGGATGCTACCTAGGTAGCTACCTCCAGTTGCCCTGACAACCACCAAGATGGAATTCCCTATAGCCAAAAATCAAGGAATAATTAAAAAGTTATACAAGGGAAGGTGTTTTAAAGTTTGTTGTTTGATGTAGTTGGGACACAGTTGCCTCATTCTTCATTCTGCACCCCTCAGCCTCCCTGAACATGCGCCTCAGCAATATGTCAGCTGAAATGCAGCTTGAACTGGGGCCGAAGACCCAAAGTCACCCAATGAAGCTTGAGGTACGTGAGTAGGAAGTGCAAAAACACTAAGTTGTCTCTACGGTGTGGCAAAGAGAAAGGAATTGCTCCAGAAGGGGATGAAACCTACCTAAGACCAGACACATTCTTGGAGATAGATACCCTCTCTCCCTTGTCCATGGCAGAATAGGATGCCCAGTCTCCCTGGTTACTGCTTCTTCCAAACCCAAGTTCCACCCAATAACCAGGCGCACTGGCATGAACCAGATCAGCTCACTCATCCAGCAAAAAACCCCTAAACTTCCTCTTTCTCCTTTGCTGGGTCAGTGTTCCAATAAATCGGGGTGATCAGCCACAGGATTACCAGCTCTGACACAGGAGTGGGAAAAACAGGATCTGTCTTTTCCACAGCAACCCACAGTTAGAGCAGATCAGATATGATATG